GGGAAAGAGCTACTCGAGAATAATTTCCTATATGGATACTCTTCCTCTAGAACAAGAGTAATTTTTTCCAGTGTACTTTAATCCCTAGCAAATGTTACTGATTTTTCTCCAGAGGAACTTCTGTCTATAGGCAAGCCCTTACACTGAGACCAGAGGCTATGCTTTTTGCATAACGGGGAAGGAATGGATAATGTTGTTCTTCAACACTGTTTTTCCTGCAGTCCCTAACACCATTGCATCTATACTCTGAAAATTTCCAGATGTGATACGTCATTGACCTGGAAACAAGGAACACTGATAGCTCTCCTGAACTACCAGTTAATTCCAAGATGATGTACAAGCACACTGTGAAATACCGTGACATGTTTGCCATGGGGAAATGTCTAATACCTCTTCTCAGACTAACCCAAATTTAACTAAAGCTAGAAATGAATTGGAGGATTGCTGCTTACGGTGCAATGGCTCTGTTCTGGCTCTTAAAATTATATTCCACACTGTGACAGTGCATTTGCAAGAGCATTTTAAGCTTGTGATAAAATACAAACAGAAACTGGTTTATGAACTCGGTGACAAATGTTTTTGCAAAACAACTGGCAGAACAGAATAAGGATAAGTGCACTCTTCACTGGCCTGAAGTGGCAAACTCATGAAGTGTGTAGAACATCTACAGGAAAATTAAAGGATGGTAAAGTGTGTGAGGCCAAGATCATCTTTTGCTGTACCCTTTGCATCCATGCAGAGCCTATAACATCAGAGGTTGGGGCCTCTGTGTTAAATAGCTTTATAGGAATTCTGATGGTTAACTCATAGAAAAATCCTCAATAGCTTTAAATGACAATGCAAAGGTATGGGTTATCAATAAATTTTTAAACATTAGATTCCTCACTGCAGGCTCAGTATTTCCATGCACTGAGCACCTGAGTTTCTATCAGCAGGGAAAAAAAGGCACTCAACATCTAGAGGAGTGCTTGTGCTTGACAGTGTCAAAGAGGACAACCACTGTTTGCTAACAGAGTAATGAACTTAATTTGTGCTTTGGCTTTGAAAATAAATGATATTGTCTTTTTCAGAAATAGTGTCATCTCCCCTGTCATAGATGTCATAGACTGGAAGACTTTTCAGTACTATCACTCTGTGGGCCTGCATCGAGGTGTTTTTGATTGGAAACTAGATTTTCATTGGGAACCAGTGCCAGAGCGTGAGGAGAAGGTACGACAGTCTCCCATCAGCCCTATCAGGTAACAGTCCATCAGCCAATATGCCTCCGCTCAGCTCAGCAGCAAAACTGTACAATTTGGGTCATCTTCCAGCTACCAGAAGAGAGACGTGGTTACTTGCATATGCTCGGTTAACGTTTTTTGAAGGGATAGGTTTTTGGTTTACACTGAGTTTCTTTGGCCTTTAGTAATCATTCTAACTAGATTGCAGTCATACTTTCAACATGACAAATATTTGTCCACACATTGACACAACTAATATACAACCTGACCAGACAGTGGAAAGCAAAAGATGGATCATACAGAGTTAAAAGAGGTGTCTTAATCATGGTCTGTTTGTCTGTTGTTTTGGTATACATGTATGTCACATTTCCCACTGTTCTGAGCCTTATTTGATAATACAGCTCTTGGCTCCCTTCCCCAAGCAAATCCTAGAATTATGTTCCAGATGTTCTTTCTTTTGGTTAGATAATCAATTCATTCAAGCTTATATGGAGTAGTATTCAATCATTTTGTAATGCTATCTCTATGGAAAAGGTGGGATTTTCACCCTTCACATAATTCCCTATCCAAAACCTAAGGTGTTCACTTCTAAACTGTTTTCTACACAGGAGTCCTGTGGTAGCTGGTGCAGTGGTGGCCATGGATCGACATTACTTCCAAAACACTGGAGCTTATGATTCTGACATGACTGTGTGGGGAGCAGAAAATCTGGAGCTATCTATAAGGGTAAGAACCTTAATTAAAACATCAAGCTGTGGTAACTATTGGACTTTTAAGGAACCTGAATGAAAAGGCAAGAAGCAATTTATAAAAGCAGTTAAGTGCAGAATGTCTTGGGGTATGAAGAATATCACTTTTCTCACAGAAATCTATCCCCACACTCTGTGATCTGTCAGGACTATACAAGAACATGCAGCTGCCATGAGTTAGGAGCGTTATGTCAGGAAAAGGAAGTTTCACAGGCTATCACTATCTGCCTGAGGACAGAGTCACTGGTTTCAGCATCTTCTGAAAGCTGCCTCTTCTTTTTTGGCATGTAACATGCACCAAAGGGACAGTAGCTTTATTTCTTTGCCAAACTGTAGTTTTAATACCAAATTGTTTATATTAAATTGTTTGCATTGATTTTTGCTGAACACAAAGAGTAACTGATATTAAAAAGCAATGAAAATTGCAGGCACAAAGGGTATAGAGTCTTTAGTGTGCCAGACAAAAGAAGGTGTGCCCCCAGGTCTCTTCACTACACTGCACTGTTTGTGCACAGAAAAACATAAAAGCATATAAATAGCCATACTGGGTCAAATCAAAAGTCTGTCTTGCCCAGTATCTTCTCTGTGTGTCTGTGGGGAACAGTGTATGAAGAAGCACATAATAATGCTCTTGGTGTCTCCAACAACGTGCAGATTAGGATTTCCTGAGGCAGAGTCTATAGTAAAGGAGCTTCTCCTTTTCCTATAAAGGTAATCTAAAGAATGTAATCTCTTTTTGTGCTTTCACCTGTGTTTCAGACCTGGCTCTGTGGTGGCTCTGTAGAAATTATTCCATGCTCCCGAGTTGGGCATGTCTATCGAAATCACTTTCCCCGTGCTTTCTCCTATGAAGAGGCCATTGTGAGGAACAAAATCCGAATAGCAGAGACCTGGCTGGGCTCTTTTAAAGAGAACTTCTACAAGCACGACACAGTGGCTTTCTTAATCAGCAAGGTAAAGACATCTATAGTGGTTTGTTTCTGAGGGAAGGAGTGTGTGTTGAGGTAGGTGAAGGGGGTGGAATAGGGGTGGGGCTGTCTGTGTGCAGTCAAACATTCAACATGCATGGTGCTGGCGATAGTCTTTTTATGAAACCTTCCAGTGGAAGAGCTGTCAGATCAGGAAGGAAAGAGAGAAACTTGTGCCTAGGAGTTGTTTGCCAAAGTTATCAAATCTCTTAGAGTATGACTCCGTCTCCAAATGACTCCTTCTTCAGCTTGCCCAACGGGCTGTGATTTATTTTTCCACCGATAGTACGTGGAGGGTTGCAGTGCGTCTGAAGTGGAAGCTAGTAGCACTGTGTGCTCAAAGGGCCGTCCTAGAGGATTCATTCTTCGTTACTGAAGGTCTTCCTCATGTGACTCATGAGGATATTCAGCAATATTCACAGGCACGTGGCAAACTGTAGTGTCTCTCCTACTGGAAGGGAGCATATCTGAGTGGCCTAGTGACAAAAAAGGTGATTTTTTTCCTGAGCTGACTGACATCCAGGAGCAACTGCCTGTAACTGAGAAAGTCAGATCTCAACATACCCACTATTTACAAGTTACTTTTTCATTAGAAGCATCACACAGACAGCAGTCCCACCTCCAGAGATTTGGATTCCCAGCGGCCTGTACGCTGAGACAGGCTTGCAGCCAGGTGTGTGGCGTAGCCCTGGCATGCAGCCACACTTGAACCGTCTACAGACTACACACCATCCAGCAACTACAGAATAGCCACACTTGTTTTTAAGCCACTATATAATCCATTGCAGATCAGGATCAGTCAAGGGACTGTATATCCCAGGGATTACAAATGAGTGGATGTTTGTTTTTTGGGAGTCATGCATGTCATTTTTAAGTTAATAATGTTAAGTTGTTTGTAATGTGAAGTTCTTAATGTTGCTGCAGTTCTCAGGAATTCTTTGGCTCCAGTACCTTTTCTTGTAACGATATCCTCTCCTACAAGGCAGCAGACAAACTTGTAAGCAGTTGTGAATGAAAACATGTCATTCATCTTCTTGTTCATTTAAAAACGCCATGCTTTTAAGAAGAAAAAGATTCACTGAAAACAGCTAGGCAGAGCATGGGTAGGTGCTGTGCAAAGTTTCCCATTGAGTTTTGCTCTTGCATTTCAGTCCTGTGTGCCTCAGTCATTGCAGTGCTGGCCATTGTCTAAGAAAGCCAGACCCAGCGGGAGCTGCAATGTAGTGGGGAGAGCAAAAAGGCTGTGCGTTGGCGTGGCCTCTCTCCTGTCACCTAGTCTGACCTCCTTACACCCTACCAGTGGATCTGCCTCTCCAGTCAGCCTGCTGTCCTAATCCTAGAGACTGAGACTATCGCGTTTCTTTTTTTATTCTATTTTCACATTTTTTAAAAAGCTTCTCCATTCTTGTCTGTGTTGTAGGTTTGAACTCCACTGGCCAGAAGGTCGTCAATTGACTCACAAGGGTTACAGCCATGTAATTGAAAGGAGGACAGTAGGCCAAGTCTTTTAAGATGGGCAGTTAGGTCCTTAAATCATTTAATAATTTCCTGAAGGCCTTTCTTGTCAACTTAGAAGCGATTTTCTATACTAAAAGCTACAGCCGCCAATGATACAGTTTACTAGCTGTAAGCACCATGACCTTTTGCCTGAGAGTTTATTCTAGCCAGAATACTTTTAGTACTTCGAAGTGTGATGCTCCTTCAAATGATCAATTTTACGATCTCTGTGCTCAGCATACCATAACATAAAAGGCCCTTTTCTCTGTTCCTTTCTTTCACAGCCAATATTTTCAGTATGTCAGTGCAGCAGGATGTTATTGAAAAGACACAAGCAAGCAATGACATTATTGCTGCTCAGCTGCAGATGGGCCCTGCGGGGATTTATGGCACTGAGAGGGCGAGCGGAGCCACCTATTGGCCACTACAAAAATCCCCGTGAGACTTGACCGCCGACGTGGCCCACTGCAGAAAATAACTAGTTGACCCCCCCTTTAGGTTGCTTTATAATTCTTCCCATTTTATGGTCTGAATAGCATCCTGCACAAGATGCCCGTGGTGTGAGCGTTAATGCAGGTGAATAAGGCTCTTCCCAGCTCTCTACAGTTTCAGCCACCGTCTCTTTTTCTCCTTTTCTTGTGTGGTTTGTTTATTGAATTTACAAGCACAGTTTCCTTTCAGATTGGTTTACAGGGATAATGACTTTCTTTACATTATTTACACCATTTATTCAGCATCAAATGCAGACTGTAACTAGTGCAACAAAATGAGATTTACTGCCATCGCCTTCTTCAGCCAAAGCAGATTCTCATGAGAAACATCTCTTTTTAAGGGAAGCATTTTACTTCTCTATTTCCCTTTTCCAGGAAAACCTCTTGGGGACAGGTTTGTGTAGTGCTGAATTGCTGAACTTTGTTGTTATGCTTATTGAATCTTAAGACTGATACTAAACTATGAGGTTCTCTTAACATATGGCAACTGTTGAGCTTTGCCCATGAAGCTTACAGGGGCTGGCAAACGGTGCCACATGGCATGATTGATCCCTGCCTTTAGAAACTGATACCTCTCCCTTGATCTCCAAGGCCCTTCATTTGTCAGTGTTTTCCAGGCATGTCACAAAGTCCTTTTTTCTTTCTTATGGATGCAGAGAAATAGCTGGTTTGAGGAAAAGTTATTTACGGGCAATTCTTTGCTTATGTTACCAATTTTAATTTCTGATGTAGGAATCCAGACCAGTTTCCTAGAATCCAAAACTGCATTTTTAAAAAGTAGAAATGTGAAGGGGGAGATCTACTGCTGGCTAGAAAGAGGAGAGAGAGACTCTTAAGGGTGGTGAGATATTTTTAGTATTTGGGCACTGAGAGATTTAGAAAAGTGTTTTGTGTAGTTTTGAAACTGAATGATCGGACGCTTACCTGCTTAGAGGTTTTCAAAACCCTGTTAGCCATCTTCAGTGCTAAATACCCTCAAATATTCAGTCAGTCAGTCCTTTGCAGTGCAGATGTCTGTAGCTGCACCAAGGGTTGAAGGCACTTGTGTTTTTTCAGAACAGAGTTGCTACCAGGAAGGGTGAGAGTTGACATTGTGTGTATATAATCCAAGAAAACACATAAATCATAGGAAAGCTTTTATGCCTTTGTAGCTGCAAAATACATTCACTTACTAGATTTAGTAACTGTCAGATAATAATGTGATAGACTATATTTTGGGCTGAATTCTGTCATCACTTACATCCTCTGATCATGGAAGACTAACAATAACCAGATAATTTGGGCTGTTAAAGGCCAGGAAATTGAATTTTAATCAGTGGGGAAATTCTGTACTGAATGACAATCCAATACAATCCCACTGATTTCATGCAAGTATCAAACTTGGCCCTGACTTTTTTAATTAAAAAGATGACAAAGACTGACTTATCTTGCAGTATAATCATCATTTTTAGAGTAAATACTTATTTTCACAGTGTATGCTACTTCTGAAACATTTACTTCTGTCACAATGCCAGACTAAATGGTGTTTTAGCACAAAGTTGGAGGAAGGCTATAGCTTGTCCTCCTCCTTTGTGTACTCATGAGAGATATATATCAATATCTATAACATGCGGGATAGAAGAGGTGGTAGAAGTAATTCCTATGTAGTCATTTTCACTTCTAGCATCTCTAACACAAACACACTAGTAACCTTGTTGCCCCTATGCTTTATTCATAAAGGCAGAGAAGCCAGACTGCAGTGAGCGCCTTCAGCTACAGAAGAGACTGGGCTGTAGAAATTTCCAATGGTTTGTATCAAATGTGTACCCTGAACTCTCCCAACCTGAAGACACACAAAGATTCTCTGGCAAGGTAAGAGAAAACGCACTACAAAAAATGATTAGTGTTTTTGCATTGTTCAAAGACCCTGGTAACGCTTCCATGTACTAAGTACTCAGTGAGCATACAGTAAGAGGCTGTTCCTGCTTTGAAACATTTATTGTCCAAACAGACAATGCAACAAGCATGGAAGGAGAAAGAAAAGGACAAAGGAGACAAACAACTAGCCCAAATTCTCACATAAACGTTGAAACCCAGCCAGGAGCTGAACCAGATTGTCTGACTTGGTTCAGTGTCACAGCTCAGAGGATCCTAACCTTAGGTTCTTTAGGTGCCATTAGCAAAGGAAAAGAAGTGTGTTGCCTCATGCAGATGGCAACCGCAATAGCAGCTGAGATATCTCTATGCTGACCCATGTGCATGAAGACAAAAAAGCATTTCTTCAGCCCTGCACTTCCCCCAAGGGCAGAGGTGGTAACAATAGCAGTTCCTTGGCTGACGGTGTACAGGAGGCAATATTTTTGATGTTTGTTTTTTTTTAAACACATAAGTTGATAATTATCATTCATTAAAATATGAATTTATTTTAGACAGCCTTACTAGAAGGGATTTTCCCCCAACAAGGCAACAAGGTCCACTAATTAAGTAACACTCTGCTATCTGTAGCCAGATTTTACTGTGTCCTCTTACTATTTTGTCTGTTCTTTATTATCAAAGTTTGCTTGAGAAGAGTGTAAGAACTGAGTGTGGATCACAGGAATTGTCACATGGTTTTTTCTTCTGTAATATCTTGGTTTTTTTCTGACTACAGGGCCCAGTTGAAGTGCAATTTTCTATTGGCATAAAAATTTTGACAGATTTCTTTTAACTATCATAATAGTTAAAACCAGAAGTGGGTATCTCTAACTTAAACAAAACTCACTGGGTAACACTGATCTTTGGTGAGACTCTGCCTTGTGTATCAGATCGGTTTGCAAGACCAATATGCAAGACCTAATCTGAAAGAAAAGAATATTGCCTGAATTATGAGCAAAAACATATATCATAAGGGGATACAATCACAAAAAAGTTAGATGAAGGATTTTTTTTTATATCTGACTGTGTTTTATTTCAGTATAAACCTTTACTTACAGCTTTACAATACTGGTGTTGGCTTCTGTGCAGATTACAGACCTGGAAGAGCCATTGCAGAAGGCTCTATTGAACTCTCCCCTTGCAGTAACAGTCTCACCCAGGTACTGTGTGCTTCAAGTATATAGGCACTGTATCAGATCTAGGGAACCATCCAGAAGACAGTCACTCCAACATGTAAATGGCTGGGTTGACAGTAGTGGAAATACTGATGTGTTAAAAATTAGGCATGTGCTAAGGCAATGATGCCCACTCTTCTGCAGCTGAGTGTCACTTGAAAAATGGCAATGTTACATGTGTCACTGAGGCCAGATCCCCACACTTAGCTCCAGCAGACATCATTACGTGCCTGTTTGTTAGTGTATTTGGTCATGTCTGGAGAACAGAAGGCCCAGGAGTAAAAAATACATAACAATTCTAGAATAATGAGGATGGGTTTCCCCATAAGTGCCTAAAACAAAGACAGGAGTGAAATTCATGTAGACTCCCAAGCTGGCATTAGACTGGCAAGTTCATGCATTAAGAGAAGCCAAACCCATACAGACCGACTCCAGATATTTACTGCAAGTCCCAAGCAAGTTTTGCTGCTCACACTGAGCTCAGGGTGAGCTGCAGGCACGTTTCTAACTGCAATGTGTGTGGATACTGTCAGAAATACCCTTCTGTTCAAATATTTATTAAACTAGAAAATTTTATTATAGGATGGGTTTACTTTATACATAATTACAGTCCACAAAGCCTTTCTTTAGGTAAATAGTTATGCCAGAATTAGCTAGTGGGGGGAATTGCTTTGCAGGGTCAAGGCTGGTGGGTCTTCATCACTCATGTTTTGTTTGCGTCTTAACAAACATGTACAGGAAATTATTTTTGGAATTAGCATTTAAAAATGAATTGGGATGTCCTTCCATCGTGGTTCAAACAAACCCTCCCTTTTCCAGCACTTTGAATATAACAGCATGAAGGAAATCCGGCTTGGTTCTGCTCCGCTGTTTTGCTTTGATGTCAGACACGGGAAGGTTATCCCTCAAAACTGTACAAAGGAGACAGACAACAGCCACCAGCACTGGGATGTCCAGGAGGTCAGTAGTGACTCTGCCATGAGGGGAAAGCAGCTGACGGTGGCTGTGGGATCACTGGGTGATTGACAGGATTCGTGCGTGGGGAAGGGATGAGGTACCTGAAGGGCAAGTTTCACTTCTGTACCATTTTCACCCAGGAAATTTAGAATGCCTCTTGCCCATTTACACTGTCTATATGAAAAAAATTTGGTTTAAAAATACCAATGCCTAAATTCATATGTCCTTGTTTTAACTGTTTGTCTTACTGGCCTTATAGGAATAGAATCAGAATCAGTGGTTGTGAAAATAAGAGCATGGCAAATCTTTGCCCGCTTCTTTTGGATAGAGGAGAGGTCTGGGAATCCTGAACCCTCCCAAATGAGAGCCCTTTGGGAGTAGGGGAAACATTACAATTCCTCTTGCATTGTAAGAGAAAAGCAAACTTCCTATTAGAAGAATTTGGTATCATTTAGTGGACTTCACCCATCAGAGCAGAAACTCCGCTACAAGACTGAAAAATGTCATGCTATGGGACAGCCTGGGAAAATAGCAGTTACTGTAGTTGTAGGGATGCTGCAGTCCTCTGGTACAGTTCCTACTGTAATTTGTTTTGATTCCTAAGGGGAGCACTGGTCCTTTTGAAATTTTGTGGCCTGTAGTACTGTAGTTAATGCTGATGACAACCTGTACCCATAGGAAAGAAACAGTGGTGGAAAAGAGATTTATTGAATTCTGCACCTACCACTCCTTCAGTGGTAGGTGTCAGCTTCAAAAGGAATTATGAATACTCACCATGCCCTGGGCTCAAAGCTGAACCTAGTCATTATGTTCAGAGCAATATTTAAAAAACTTTGAAAAAACAGTCATTACTGGTGACCTATTGTATGTAAAAAGTTTCAGAAACATAGCCTAGCTTTTACTGGAAAACCCTTATTTTTAATTTGTTCTTTCTTTCCCTTCTTCTCTCATCTTGTAGAATGGAATGATTGTCCATGTCCTTTCTGGCAAATGCATAGAGGCAGCAAAGAGTGAAGATGAGAAGGACTTGGTTTTGTGTGTATGTAACAAGAATGCAAATCAGGTGTGGCAATTTGAACGTTCTCATGGACTACATCAGAGATGACTGACAGATCTCTGTGGAGGTCAAGCCTCCAAAATTTAACATTACTTCTGTTTGGGATTTAAGATACATTTCCTGCATGGACAAGAAAGATGTTTGTGTTTGCTGTAGCATGCAGGGAAGTTAGGAAGGTCTCTCCTTTGAAAGCCTGGCTCAAATAGTTGCCCCCAGTTCCTGGTTTATTCAGCTCTAGCTAAAATTTCTATTTATTCTGTGAAGCAGGGAATAAAGATACTGTGAGCATCAATAGATTCTCAGCTCTGCTATTGCAGAAGACAGTTCAGTTTGCCCTTTGAAGGAAACATGGAAAATTGGCTGCCAGACTGCTTGTCTTTAGCATATTCTGTGACTTCTGAGGATACAGGAAAATGAATGTTTATGAAACTTTTGAAACTCTAAGAGGAAGCCAGCCAAACCAGGATAAGAGCTTAGCCTTGTTTTACAGTGCACTCGACTCATATAAAACAAAGTAGGTTTTGTATGTATAAAAGTAGTAGATGTTTTCACGTGTAATAGCTAAAATTTTGTTTTCCAACTAGCCTGAGCCAAATTGCTACCCTCTATGAGATTGCACAGAGCATAAATTAGCACTTAATTAGGCACTAAGTGCTCTAATTGACTTGGAATACCAACGGTCCTCAGCGTTTGGCACACCGTTCCTTAAATCCTTCGTCCATGGTCTAATTTGGGTGGGAGAATGAGGATGAAATATTAACAACTTTTTTTTTGTTTTAATGAAATTTAAAGAACAACTCCTCAGGAAACTTCTGTGGAATATGGAAGAAGATTGAACTAGATTGGAAAGAAGGGTAACAACTTCCTTGTTTATTTTGAAATGGAAAGTATCAGTGGCATCCATTTGCTCTTCTAAAGCTATGTGATGAGCTTGTTATTATTCTAGAGGCAAAGTGCTGGCTGAAAACAGCAAATGAAGGGAAAAGGCAGGTTTCAACAGTGCTTACCTAGGAAGAAAATACTGGTGCCCAGTGCACCTGCTTGCAGCCTGAGTTAAGTTTTCACACTGTCAGTTCTAGCCAAGATCTCTTAGATTCTTGCTGTTGTGGGTCTCCAAGCTGATCCTCAAAAGAGACAGTAGCATACAAAATTTTCTAAACAAGCTTCTTCTGCAGAGCCTGCACCCTGCTGACCTCCTGTCTTTCAAAGAAGTGAATGAGAGTTAATGTTAGGTAATGAGAATGGTCTTATACAGTATGCACTAGCAAAGCAAACTACTATCAGTATTTTGTTAGGGCACTTCCAATTTTGGAGTTAAAACCAATAATGATGACACTGTCCAAGAGCCTGCTAAGACAGAAGGACAAAGATTTGGGATTATTCCCACATCAGCACCACACCTGATTTATAGTATAAATCAGTCATAACCATATGTATTTATTAAAGGGGAAGGGCATCATTAATGAAACTCAATTTGGTTTTGAGATTTTTTTCAAGAGGCAGAAATTTGGGGTTTTTTTGTAAAAAGCACAGCACATTGTTTGAACTTCTCTAAAGAAAGGAAGGAATAACAGAATATTCTGCTCAGAGCCTTCCAGTCACCTGCTCTTGGTAAATAATAGTAAGTTGGTTTCAGGCGTATAAAATTGGTTACAACAGAAGACATGAACAGCATTCTGTGTTGTGTTGTCCAAAACATTTCCCAGTGGGGTCTCTGTTTGCTTTGAGTGCTACAGATTCCACACCATGTTCAGGCATCACTCCAATCACCCTAATTACCACTTACTCTTTCTTTGATAGCATCAGGATCTAATAACCATTTGCTGCTGTGTCATTTAAAATTTCCTGTGGCATTCTTGAAAATGCTTCAGCTTTCAGCTGAAAGGATGGTAGCAACTTCTTCCAGAACACCAAGTGATCCCTGATCAATTCCTGAATCTGGGGTGAGAAAAGAATTTCTAAAATTACATAAAAGCTGAGTGAAATGCTGTTTTAATGACATGTGATTCCTTTATTTTAAATTATAAGTATGCCAGATTTTCTAATTATGTATTATTTATTATATTTTGGACTCTACACTGGGAATATCATTCCTTCAGCATTTAGCTTAATGTTTAAAAAATGTGTATACAAACATGATAATTGATCACAAGTGAGATTTATCACAAAGAAGAATGAGAATATTTTTGCTTTAGAGAGGAAATGTTTGGAATTAAGAGATGTGGACATCCTTATCTTATACTGTGTTTTAACATAATGATAAAAACCTAGAAAGTAAGGTTTGCTGTAGATATACGTACAAGAGAAAAATACATTACATAATAACTCTTCCAACAATAAAATGAAAATAAATGGTTCGGTACCGTTTAAAAAATAATTGTTATTATACTTGTTGCTTTTAGTAGCAGTGTAAATGTGTGTTTGGTGTCCAGGGGAACTGAAGTCTAGAGCACAGGCCAGAAGGGAGCTGCAGTGTGGTCTAGGAGGTCTCCATATGGGGACAGCCAGGGGACATGGATTGTGGGCCATATCGTGGAGCACACTTCCCTCTAATATAAATATAGCTTGTTACCACATAAAAAAACCAAAGGGAAAACATCTATCCCCTGTTTTTCCTAGTTTCCTCCCTGTATGCCTTTAAATCCTTTTCAATGGATTGGTTGGTTGTACCAATGCTGTTTCCCCATTGTGGTCATTTACACTTTGTCCCTGTGGTTAGATCCATCAACCAGACCCTTCTCCTCATGTAGGCTGTACAGGGGGCTCAACAAAGGGTCTCTGCTAAGGGTGCTGGTATGTTTTCCTCATTTTTGCCCACCTTTCACACAACACTAGCAGACAGCGATGCTTTGAGCGTCACAAAACATGGAATTACTTTTAGCTCTGTATTTAGACAGAAACACCATTTCAGGTTCCTTTAATTCCCATTGATGGGAGAAACGTAAGAACAAAATGTTTCAGACAAGAACGGAGTAGCAATTTGAACTTTGAAGGCCTCAGAAGTAGGGCCTCGGGCAAAAGCAAAGGAATTCCAGCATAACATGAGTAGACATCTTACAGTCTAACTCCACCTGTTTCTTTGAATTTGGCAACCCAGGCTTAATGAATGCTTTGAGCCAAACCCACCCATGAAGCTGAGCTAAAAGGTCAGATTCAAGAACAGGTCACCTTTTGGTTGACAATGCTTACTAAATAGCCTGGTTTATTCTTCTTCCAGCTAACTGGGAATGGAAAGACACAAAGGCTCAAAGTATTATTCAACCTACTTTTAAACCTAGACCCGGTTGATGCAGTCAGTATTTGCCATAGTTTGGGATTTGTCTTGTTAGGTGAAGTGTCATCACTAATGCAGAGGAACAGAATGGCAGCATTTTCCTCTGTGTGTTAACATGAAGTTTGAACAGGGGGAAGGTTAGAGCAACCTTTATGCTAAATCCTGTAGCACAGAAATATTCAGGGTCTCTCTCAGTCCACGTGTTAAGTGCCTCCAGGTACTCCCTTAGAGACATTGAGCTGTAATACTGTCTGCATACTAAAATGCAATAGCTTCCATTACAGATTTCCCTAGGAAGGATTGGGGCTATGCTCAGGCAACCAAGACAAGAACAGTAACAGCCTGGATTTTCACAACAGCTGGAAGGTGACATGTGAGTGAGAGCTTTCAGATTCTGCCTTCGTATCTCATTTTATCTCCAGCAGTTTGATTCAAATTATGAACGTATTGGAAGAGAGTAAAAAAGGAGTGTTTCGCAAATATTAGTAACTTCTTGGCTTATGTTTTTAAGCTATGCAAACTGCACACTTCTGCCCTGAATAAAGTATATCGGTGCACAGTGAAATGTTGTATTTTTATTCCTCTTCATTGTGATATGATTGGCTAATGCCTCTTTTTCCTCATGCTGCAGAATAGCTGGTCTGCAAAGAACCTTGTCGGAAAGCCTCCAGTGGCAATACCTTCATTTACCTGTCACCTAATGGTCTTACAGAAATGTACAGGACTCTGCCTCCACTAACATCTTAGAGGGGGTTTGATTTTCTAGTCCTTTGCCATAACTTCTGTTGGTTTTGGTGTAAAGGTCTGAACAGAGACTACAGAAGCAGAGTCCCTGGAAAGCATGATCTCTGGCACACCCTTCAGACAGCTCACAGCTGTTTCTTCACCAGGTGGCTTGGAAGGATGTAGTAGCAAAACAATCTGGCTACGTGACTTGGGATAGCAGGCATAGCGTTTTTGCTGTCTTTCTAGCTGCAGATGGTCTTTTTTTTGTAAAATAGCTATCCCACTTGGGGATTATTATGCATTAGACACATGGGACAGGATTCAACTCTGTTAACTGCAGCCACCTAAACAGTAGTCACAACTAAGCTAATTGTCTAGGTTGCTTCTACTGGTCAGCAGAGAACGCTTCCAGAGGTAACGTCTTTCTTTTCAAAGACGAGTATTTAAACAAGATGGGTGAATCACTAGAAGTGCTTGCTTCCTCTACTGATTAGAGAGGGAGTCTTAATGATTAATTTAGATGCCATGTGTATCTTTTAAACTGGCGTTAGGTGGAAGGAACATCATCTGAAGGGTACCCAGGCTAAAATCCCTTCCAGAAGCCCAACCCCAGTGCCCAGCTCTTCCGATTCCCCCCAGATCTGGCTTTAGGCACAGAAATGACAGCCAAGAACAAACTGCCTTGCTACCATCTGCAGTTTCCTCAAATAAGCTTACATCTAACAGCACGTTTTTTTCAAGACAGCTTCTTTGTTCACAAACTGAGAGACCCCACTGTGTAGGATGCTGTGTTACAGCATGATCTGGTCCCAATGGAATAAGGATTTAAATTTTCAGAAAAGTCTCTGTAATATTTTGAAGATGTTAACTCTAATATTAATGATAAATCTTCTATATCTTTCTGCTGAGTAGGCTAGAAAGTTACAGCAGAATTTTCATGATACAGAACAGATACAGGTGTCAGGGTTGTTAGTAAGGTTCTTCTTTTTAGCTTGAACCTAAGTTACGTGCAGACCAGACTACAGGCTGAATACATTATTCAGTTTCTAAGTAGCTACACAATTAGCTTTGTTAAAGTCCATGACCTTTGGTAATATTATCATGATGTTTATTTACACTAACAGTAATTTTGTGTTGCAAATTGAAAAGATGGTGAAAATAATCAATTTTTTAAAAATACGCATTATATAAAAACACTAAATATATTTTAAAATGATCTGAACTATTTTGTGCAATTACTCAAAAGATTGCTACCACAAATATCCATTCTTT